GGGGTTTTTATTCCCCGAGCAGTGCAGGCTTCTGGCTTATTCTACTTTCCTAAGTCCTTAGTTCAGTACAATTGACTCAATCCTTCAACTAAGAAGTACTAGGTCATTGTCATTGGTACAATTCTTTTCCCTGGGTTTTCTTTGTATCCCAGGTTATACTATTGAGCAAAACTTCCAAATAAATCTAGGTACCACAAAATAATGGGAACGAGAGGAAAACACCTCCTTTAAGAATGGCACTTTTCGTACACAGATGGATCTAGAACACAAGAAGGTACACGGGCAGGAGTATTCACACCAGTATCTTCCGAGCTGAGGGTTACGCAATCGAGAGATGTACTCAACTCAACTTGACTAAAACATACTACAAACTACAAAAACAAGAAATAGATATTGTGTCAGATAGCCAAGCAGCCATCAAGGACTAAGCTCAAATTTCATTAGTTCAAAGATGGTGTTGAACTGCAAAATCAAATTAAACGTATTAGGTATGCAGAACAAAGTCAGCCTCTGCTGGGTCCAGGACACATGGGAGTAGAAGACAATGAGAAAGTGGACACCCTTGCAAGGAAAGGAGCTGCTACACTGCTGATAGGACCTGAACCCTTCTGTGGCCTAGGAACCCACACTATCAATGAGTATCTCAGACAGGAAAAAAAGGAAATGAAGGAACAATGGAATTCACTCATTGGACACAGGCAATCAAAGAATATCCTAACAAATTTCGGAAGAAAAGAAACTACAGAATGTGTCAAAGGAGGCAGGAATAAATTGTGAATCCTAACAGGATTCTTAACAGGACGCTGCAAACTAAACAGACAGAAAATTGGTATAACCCAAGACAGCACATGCAGATTCTGCAAAGAAACAGAGGAGACACCAACACACCCATTAACTGTGTAATCTGTGGTGCAACATTTGCTCGCAGGAGGAAGTGCTTTGGGACGTACAATGTGACCACAGAAGAAATTCAACCACTGAAACTAGGCCTACTAATCAAGTTCCTTGATGAAATAGGACTTACCGGTGTGCTTTATAAAATACAGCTCTTAAAGGGCACAGTATATTACACCCTGATTAATACATTTGCGTCTATATTTATTTCTCCTCATTGCATAATCTACAAATGGGATCATAATGTTGTGTACAGGTTTTTTTCAGATTCCAGTAACAAAGTATATAGTCTTATCACTCCTCTGAGTTTAGCTCTAAATGTATCAGTAAGTTTGCTAAGGTGAGGGTTGCTTTGGCATAAGTTTACTGCATCTAGCACCTCTACAGTTGTCTTTTTTGGATCCATTCTGTTATCGAGGATCTGTTTGTTTTTGTTATCTCAAGAATAGGTTCAGAGTGGTGATTTATATCACCCACCGCAAGAAAAGTGACACAACTCAACAAAAGAAAATTTTACAGTAGAGATAGAAGTTTATTTTTGTTTTTATTTATGCATTGAGTACATGCCATTACTGTTGGCAATAAAAACTGTCATGATCTATCAATATTGACTTTAGTTTGTCCAAGTCTTAAGAGAAAACACAAAACTTTTTAAAATCCAGCTGAACTGCCCCTAAAAAACTATAGCTTTTTGAGTCGTCACACGTGTATATATTGGCTCTAGGTAGTTTTTGTCGGTAGCTCTAACTCTAATGGTGACCAATGAATGTCTGTAAGGATATTAATTTCTTAGTGATAGTAACACAACATACAAACATAACAAATAAACATAAATATCCATTATAAAAACATATTTATACAACATATATATATTATGTAGGGTGGGCGACCAAGACCCGAGGGGTTAAATGCCTGGGTAGACTCGTACCCCATCCCTAAAAGGTCCTTGGTTGGCTCACATGTCCTGCATAAACCTCTTGGACTTGTTCACAAACTCCAAGATTTTGGACCATTTTATCTTGGGGAGTGATTTGGTGATGTCCTCTCCTTCAAAGATTTCATATATTTATACAACTGATTTATCAATTGTTTTCAATAATGTGAAATTAATGTAGGCCATGATGATAACCTTTAAATAGGTCAAAAACTTGGAAGTAACAACTAAATTTGCTTTTTTCTTCAAGACCTTGACCCAGAGAGTTTGTGAGTGAAAAATTGGTCGATGGCTCTTACAATGAAGGGAAAACGGAGCAAAAGAACTGGACTGTTAGATTCAATTAAGGACATATAATCACCTTTTTTTGCATACAATATAATTGAGGTTAGTCATTATTTACAATATTTAGATTTTCTGTAGCATTTTTGACTTGCAACTTTGAAGCTGAGCTTTCATGCTTTCCAGAGTTGTCAGTAAAATCTGAGAAGCCAGAATTATCAGCAATACAGGTCATACGTTTCTTCTCAATGCTCGTTATCAAATTGGAACAAGAAGATCCAATATCCGTAACACTTTGCACTAAAGTAGTTGTCAAAGAAGTGCAATTTGAAAACTGACAGACTTCATTACCATTATTAATGGCAGTTTCGTTCTTGTTGGTTGTCATCGAATTTAGAATCAGTTTGTCCATTTGATGTAAGTCATTTTCACAAATATTTAATATATTTGTACATATATTGTATATAATGTGCAAATAAACTCTAAAATATGAATGTATCAACCCACCAATTCAAAAGTGCATGATGCTGCACCTTTTGAAAAAAATATATATATAATCCGGTTTTTAGAATTTTTCGACTTGTGTCACTTTTCTTGTGGGTGTGCGATATACTGTTGAGGATCTACCTCTGGTCAGTATGTCTGCCTTTTCATAACATAAACTTCCCTTGTGTCCTGATACCCAAGATATCATCAGGTTTTATGTTTCTCCAGGTTTTGGAGATTTTGGTTGCATTCACTGAATAATTTTGGTGTGAATTTTTACATGCTAATGCTTTAATCCGAAGAGAACTTTTTTGTCAGTGTAACCTTTTAAGATTTTCTAAGTTATCATTGATGACATTTATTTCAGCTTGACAGTCTGAGGTGCACTTTCCTAATTAGTTTCATTCATGTTTTGGGCTTGGGTTCTTTCATATCTATCTGTTGAGCTATCTGTACACCATATCATTATATCCAATTTCCTCCTGAATTCTTCTTCTCTTTCTTTTGAGACTTTTTGAGAAGTTGTAGTGTTTCTGGTATCATGTAGTCAGTTCCCATTTCTAAAAATTGGTGTCTGCTTTTATTATTTATTGTTGTATTGCCTGAAGGGTTTAGTTCTCATCCAGTTTGATTGTTTCTGGAGCCTATATAAGCTTTTCCTCGCTTCTCCTTGAAGCAGGTTTAGCAGTGTTTCTAGTGCAATTGACAGCGTTGTTTTCATTGCCATTGTGATTTAGGTTTACCAGTCTTTGTATGCTGCCTAATGTTTAGATAGCTAGTTTTTGTTTAACTTTGGTCCACCAGATTAGTAAACCACAGGAAAATTTAAGTCATATTGCTATCCTTTTCATACATGAAGAATAATTAAGCATGCACAAACATTTAAGATTAAGATATTAGAAAAGCATTTAAGTTGAATATTTATATTATTGTATGTAATACTGATATTTTTTGTCTCCTAGTGTGTGTTAAGAGTGAATGTTTTTATTGGCATGATGGTACAGCTTGAGAGGGCTGATGGTACAATATCGAGACCCCATCAACCCTCAATTAGGTTAGGGCGTAAGGTGTAAAGGGTGATATGGGAACTCCACCACCCTGAGTGAATGGGTTTGGTTTTAGGGATGATTTTGTTGGGGCTGAAACGACCTAGCGGTTGGTAGCTCCTATAGCCGAACCTCGGCGGCTTGATTGATAAGACCATAGTCAGATACCGAACTGCCTACACCCAGAGGTGATTCTCAATTTACTTTAAAGTACAAAAGCTGAAATTGCCAGTGTACAATTTGAAAAATGGACAGTATGAAAAGTGATTAGCGCTGAACTCACAGGTACATGCGTGTGCACATATGAGCTTATATAAAGCACTAATCCAGATAATTAGTTTGTCCAGAGAGAAACACCGTTGAATCGGACTGAAGTTGAAAAGGTATTTATCAAAATGTTTCAAGCAGCGCTGAAACCAAACATTAAGAACTTATTATCGGGGCAACTCTTGCTCTTATCTGCAGGATGGGAGACTAAGCACTTTCAACTGTTTCAACATATACTTGAAATGGAATCTCTAATTTACAAGTTTCTGCCTACATTTCAAAAATCCAGATTTATTACCTTTTATTAAGTCAAGGAGTTCATAGTACAATAGAATTCAAAATAGAAAACACTACAAAACACAGTCTCAAATTGCAAAGTGGAATTTTTTTGTAGCTTTGTTAATTACTATCATTTTTTTGAATATCAATCAAAATAATTCCTTTTACTATATTTTAACAATTTTTATTAGAGCACTTGATTACCAACTAAATCATTAAAAAAATTGTATAGTTTTTTATTTTGTTTTTTCTATCTGATCTGGCCACGCAAAAAATAAATGTTTGGTACATTTTTCTCTTTATAAACAAATAATTTATTCTAAATCATTTTCTTCATAGCTCAATCATCACCTAACATTATGGTCTGCCTATTATCGTTGGTTTAGTTTCATCATGTGCTGGTTACCCTGTTTTTATTAGTCTTTCAAGTGAACAGGATGATTGGACATGATCAATCTACAAGTTCACCACTTTGCAAAATCTCAACAATTATTTTCTTTGTGAATAAATACATACGGGAGTTCAAGACATACTTTATGTTAAACTTATCTTTATACAAGTAAGTCGATAATAAATCAGTTTCCCAACGATGTTGAATAATCAGGGGATCCAAGTTATATTTATATTTAAGGTTATACCAGAGGCTCAATATTTTTTATGAACATGTTTAAATTATATTTTCATACCAAATATCATTGGTATTGCAATAATTTTATAACTGACAAGCAAAACAATTCAAAAACGATGAATTGTGATGATTGAGGTTCACAAAAATTTAAATTTGGGGCAAAATTAATTCTAATTGTTTTGAATCAAAAGCTACAAAAGAAAGGTTTTATTTAAAAAAAAATTAACAAACCTATTATTAAACACAGAATTAAGGTTCAGTTATCACAATAATTTACATGTTGATTCATTACTCCTTTTTGGTTTTAATTTGAATCTGTTTGGCCCGAGAAATTATGAAACACATATGCCAAAGAGGTGTATATGCAAAAGCAGCATGGATGAGTGTCGCTGAGCCGTAAACCAATGAGTCGAGGGCAGCCAGTGCAACGGCCTCCGACAGGGCGGATGGGAGGGCTTTGATTTCGAGTTCGCCCGTTTGCCTCAATTGTGACAGGCCTGTAAAGAAGCTGGCGATCGCCAGGGGATGAAAGAGGAGGCAAATTACCGCTCTCCACCACGTTGAAGAACCGCTGCACACTAGGAGGACCATCGGGACGATCAGTACGCCATTGACGAACGCCAAGGAAAAGTTGGACATGGACACTGCCAGGAGCATCGTTGCTGCATGAATAAGGGCTGATATTTTAAGCAGGGACCATTCTTTTGGCGTCGACCTAAAAATTATTTATTTGTTGCAACTATTTAAGTCAGATTTTACATTAACATACAATGGTTTTTATAGTGATTCCTTGATCAAAATGGTTGATCAATCAAATTTTTTTATTAAAAGAGTCTGGTTTGTAGTTTTTAAGAATAGTTGATTAAGATTAAGGATTTGTTTTATTCTAGTGTTCAGCAGTAATATTTTTAACAAATTTGTCAAATCTATGATGATTTTAAATATTATTAAATTAGTTCAATGCATTAAATATACATTGATTTATATTATCAATCTTTACAATAGTTTTAAAGTCGTGTAGTAAGTTTCTAATATGTTTTTTATTTTTATTATTTATATTTTTATGAGGAAATTTCACCTATAAGGTTGTATTATGCAGGTGTTTTTTGTTTTTGTTTTTTAACCCATTTCTAAATATGTCAGACCATTATCTTACAGTGATGAGTCACCGTATTGATGCTGCAACCATTGTGGCCACCGACAGCCTCAGAAGTTTCTAACATCAAATATAATCAATAATTTATAAGAAATATTTAAATAAATTATTGATTTTTAAACCCTGTATAGAATGATTAGGAGAGCTTATATAATTTTTTTTTCTGAAAGCTAGTTTTGTACAAAGTTTTGTTTGTTGCTTACAAAATTTTGTTGATATATCTTAAGGGTGACTTAAAATTTTGTATCAAAATTGTTTTTTAGAAAAACTCACAAATGCCCAAATATCTCGATGGTGAGAATGCCAAAGACGGATAAAACGACAAATCCTGTCAGAACGGCTGCTCTTGTGCTGAAAATTCCCCGTAGGAGGTCCGAAAAGAAAACTGGTACATGAAAAGCCATAAGGCCGAGCACAAAGCAGTACAGTATCGCTAAAAACACTCCTCCAACATTGTAAGAATAATCCTGGAAAAAAAAGTCATAAAAAAATTATTGTGTAAAACAAGCAAATTTATATTGCAGTTTAAAAATCTTTTTATTTGTGCTTACAGGAGATTTTTGATCGGAAAGGCTTCGTAAGCTGACCTGGTCGGCGAAAGCTTTTATAAGAAGTGGAGCTGCTTGTGCTCCAATACAAACAATATAGAGTGCTATAGATATAAATTTGTCTGTGTCTGCTAGTATATAGAAAAAATAAGACTGATGGAACCTCTCGAGGAGATTGTTTATAGAGCGAAACACCCCTTCAACCACACGCCCCACACTCCTCATAGGTACACCATGCCCTGCACCAACCTTTTCCTCACTCTCAACAGTCACTGCCTCTATCCCAAACCTGAAATTTCAAAAAAAAAAAAAAACTAAAAAACTAAAATCAAAGCAAGAAAAGGACTTTTTTTTAGTTTTATTTAAATCAACCACCTATGGAAAAGACCGTGATTCCCATCTGGTACTCCAGTCGCTTGTCCGAGCACCATTGTCGTCATGGTCCCGAGTGAATAAAGCCATTGTTCCTTAGGAGAAAGACTATGAAGTTTTTCCTGTAAATTAACCGTTTAAAATGTAAAACTTTATGTCAAAAAATAGTAACGTACCCTTCCGGCAAAAGAATGTTTTACCCTCTCCTTGGCACAAATACGATGGACGAGATTTACAAGGTCAAGATTTGGAAGCTGACCGTTTAGCCCGAGGAGCTTAACCTCTAGCCTTTCGATACGGGAGCTGTGGATCTCCAAATTGAGAGCTGCCTGAATAGATCCCCCTCTTGCTTCAAGCTCACCAGCTTCCAACACTCCTATAACACAGAGAAAAAAAATAATAAATAAAAACATAATTTAACTGATCTACTTTATTTATAGTTCTTTAGGAATAGGTATAAAAGAGGTGGCCACAAGGCCTTCTGCATCTCGATCTGAGTAGATCTGATGTCTTCTCCTGTGTTTTATAATTCATTTGTCGGTTTCAAATTGTTAAGCAACCTCAATAGCCTTGACATTGCTTTCCCGAATACTCAGTCATCCTTAAAAGGACAATGAGGATCTTTACGTCCACACCTAGCCTTTTGGCCTTATCCGACGTTTTGATTCGCAAGATGAGAGCTGATGCACCTCCGCATACAACAGAAGGGTGTTACTTCCGCAGCGTTGATGTAGAGGCAGCTCAGCCCCGAGGGGCCAAGACAACCTTGCTCCCTGTTTACCCATTCTGAGTGGTCGGATCCGCATTAAGCAGTGAACCGTATGCCGCGCGTAAAAGGCTACCTAAGCCAAAATACATCAGCCTGACCTCCCGCGCACTCCCTAGATAGAGAAGGTCACTCTATCTCCCAGAGTATTGGGGCTTCCCAGTGTAGAAACTACCAGATCCACTCCGGCTGCGGTTTCATTTAAAGTGGAATTACTAACCACCCCTAGAGGAGACTGCCTACGGTAAAAGCTTCCAATCAAGCTCAGCCTCCACCTGCATGCAAAGCATACTTGAATAGGAGCAACCGATTCACTACCCATTTCCATCCTCCACTACTCACATATTCAAGGGACCCTGTCAGCATAATCATAGTGTCCTCAACGTTTATACACTTCGGTCCAATCCGCCGTATCCCGTGAGGCCGGGTGTATAACGACGGTCATACATAAGTTTTGTACAAAGGTCACAGATAGAAGACAGCCTCTTCTCTAAGTTCCCACCAGGGGCGTCACCACGAACCACTACAAGTCCATTCCCAGTGTAACAGGGGCTGAACCTTGGAACATTTGCTACCCCTTAGTACCGATGGTTATGCACCCTCCCCCGTCTATGCAGACAGGATCTGGTACCCTAACCCTCGTGTGCCTCTGATAAGGCACCTGCCACCCCATGCCAACCTGAGGCTGACACGAGTACAGCTTGTGCTTCAGAGAGGTTGCCTCAGGGCTACACCATTATTTTGCGCCCGGACACCCCACTTGTAACCAAGGGTTGGGAGGGGTCGCAAGGAAGAATGAAGGAACCTGGATTGACAAAGGGATGTGGATGAGGACACAAGGTACACCTTTCTTGGGCCCCAAGCCTTAACCACATTGTACCACCGTCGTTGTTGCAGTTCCACATTAAGTGGACCAAAATAGCCTTGGCAGTGGCTTCTTGTGGTTTTTCCTATCCTAGTTGCAAGATCCTACACCTACAAAGACCTTCACAGAAAAATAAAATGTGTTCTGTAGCCTCCTCCTCTTCCTAGTTAAGTTGTTTCATCAATTTTGACTGTTTTGTTTTTCAAAAAGATCATTTAAATTTTATTTTAGGCCATTTATAAGCAAATAATCCTGTATTTTGGTCATGTATCATCATTTTGATATGACTATCCGTGCTGTTTTGGTCTTTTAGATGAGATTCCTTTGCAGAGTGCAAGAGGAAATCCCACAAAAAATAATCCAAGTTGATTAACTCATTTGTATAAGCTTAAATCTACACACGTACATACACACGTGTTCAGAGTTAAGCCTATCAGAGTTCACCGGCAATTCCATCTTTTGTCATTTACAATAAATCACTGGCATGTCTCAAGAATCACCAACTTGGATGTTGGCAGGCTGGGGTCAGACTTTCGTCTTATCCGTCTAGCTGCCAGGAGCTATCAACAGCTAGGTCATTGCAGCTACCAAATGCAATCAGCTTCTAGACCAAACTCACTCACTCTTTAATACATTCTTTCTTCACACAGAGTTGCATGGCTCGCATTTGCTCCAGAACACAGCCATTGGTCTTTGGACGATTGGTCTGCTGTATTTTTTACAGATGAGTGTACATTTGCCCTATGATCTCAGATGGGCATGAAAGAATATGGAGAAGACGAAATAAAAGTTATGAAGCCTGTAATTTTTCCCAGAGCCCACCTTTTCAATGTAGCTCAGTGATGGTGCGGGCGGGAATTTCAATGGACAGTTGCACAGAGTTGGTTCAATTTGTGGAGGTTCTTTGACGGCCACTCGCTAGGTGGATGAAATTTTGGAACATCATGTGTTGCCCATCCTCGATGAAATCTGCGACATTCCTATTCTAATGCACGATAATGCCTGTCTACATGTTGCATAGTGCAAACGACCTTTAACAGCATAACATCAGGTCTTAGACTGGTCAGCCCTTTCTCCAGTCTTGAACCCCATCAAACACTGACGAATAAAAGCACGTCCATCACTTCCACGATCTTGAAAGGCCTCTTCGTGAGAATGGGCTAACCTCCAGCAAAGAGACATTTCCAGACTGGTACAAAGTGTGCCGAGGCATCTTCGAGAGGTAATTAAGGCAAGAGGAGGAAATACAGGATATTGAAATGTTAATTAAAAATCTAAAACAAATTTTATCTGTCTTTTTTTCATTTTCCTTAGCAATTTTCTTTTCTTTTTTTCTTTTGTAGACAAAGACACAATAATAAAACTTTGATTAATATATGAAAATATATACAAATCAAGTTATATTACAAGTGGGCGGAATTTTTTGCCTTCGGTGTATAATATATAAATTTGTAGCTTGTCTCCTATCATCCAGGTCCGTCTATTCTCGCTGGTTTGACAATCAATCACTTCAGTGGTTGGTCTGTATATTGTTCTATCAGCCCAGTCCCTTTTATGTATGTTACTGACAAAAACCAAATATTGAATCTACGACGTGCCCGACGTTTCTCAGTGGTTTTTGCTATCAGTTGCTGATGGTATTTTTTTACCCATTTTTACATGAAAACCCAAAAATAACTGCTGTCTCGAGGTACTTAAGGATATTTTCCCCTTAGGCCTTTTTGGAGGTTTTTCTCTTTGATAATCAGGCAGATTTTGTTTGTAATGAGAAAGTTTAATAGTTCGATAAAACGGAAAAAAGGAAACAAAATGGAGAAAGTATAAGAAGAAAGTCAGAAAAGCAGTTCACTACTTCGGCCAACAAAATTTACGAAACGTCTGATTTTTTTCTTCTGGTTTTGATGACTAGCGGATAGCTCGAAAAATCAACTATTTTTTAGTTTGAGATTACTCAAAATTAATTTTTTTTTTAAATCAAGACCAAATCAGCTGGCGCTTCTTTTTAAACTGAAAAAGCAATGCCCTTTATTTAAAAAATAACTATACGTTTTTACTATATTTTGTTCAAAATGTCCTATTTTTTTGATGAAATTTAGTTCCTAAGTAGTTTCATAGTTAGTAATATTTTTTTACGTTTGTCCTTTATAAATATACAAATATACACACGATGTATTTTGTTGAAATAAATACAAAACCTGGACTTCTTGGAAATTCTAAGATCTATAATCGCCATTGTATATGGGATAGCGGTTCCGAATACGCGAAAAAACGCTTTCATCAATTTATCTAGTATTTTTAAAATTGTTTATTTTTTCAATTTTTTAAATTCGTACTGCTTTTGTTTTATGAATCAATTGTTTTCCCAGTGAAGCTCTGGTCGCGTCGCATTCTGTTTTGTGTGGTCGTTCGATAAGGTAAGTTGAATTTTTAATTCTGATTTTTTTTTTAAGTTGAAGTTTTTCTTAATGGGACTTGAAGGGATTGATAGGTGGGTTAAATTATTCTTAATTTTCAATTGCTTTTAGTTTACTTGGATCTGAAGGAACTTTATCTTGACGAACCTAGTCTGTTGGTACTTCAACTTCAATTTTTTTTGTATTTTGTCTTTTAATGTTGGACTTTGCTTAGAAGAAAGACCCCGTGATTTAAATTATTCCAATATTCCAAATAAACACCGTAGGCCCCTTTCTCAAAATTTTTAAATTCAATTGTAATATCCTGCCCCTAAAAACCTCACGGTTTTTTTAAACCTTAAAAAATATTTTTTCTTCGGTACATCGCTAAAATCTTTCGGACCTTGCAACTGCAACTCTTATCTTTTGAAACTTGTTTTTGAAATATTGCTCTTAATTTTTCCCAAAATGTTTTGACTTGAGAAAATTTTTTTTTTTCTTTTTCAACTGTTTTGATTTATTTCAACTTTGAATCTCCGTTTATAACTCTTCCACGATCAAAAACTATTGATCTTCCCTCATCCTAAGCACAAGTTTGCTGTCCTTTTTTTATTTTTTTTATTTATTTACTTTTTTTTTATTTAGAAGCTTAATCCTTTCTTTTCATTACATTACAAAACAAATAGCCAATTTATTGTTAAAAAAATAATTCCTTTTTCATCTAAGGTACAAAACCATAGATCCAACAAGCCCAACAAGAAATATGGATTCATTTTCAAAGAAAACTTGGAACCAACTAACTTTTGGGTTAAGACCTTAAGTTATTTGGTTTAAAGGTTTTTTTTTCCAAAAGGAGTGTAGATTTTTTCTTATCAGATCTTCTCAAAAACAAAATTTATCATTAATCTCTTCAATTTTTAAAAAAAAAGCTAGATCATATAGGTGAATAAATTTGTGGATTGTTTCTTTCACTACATGTTTTTAAAACATTTTTTGTTACACTGCTTAGTCAATGAGTTTCAATTTCTGTAATGTTATTTTCAGAAGAGGTTCAAAAACGATAAGGGACGAAAAGAGAAGGGGTTAAAACCAGAAGGAAAATAAATCAGCACACCAATTATTAAAAAGGAACCGGATGACGTCAGGAGGAAAATACTAAAGACTTAAAAGAAATCTAAAAAAAAAAATATTGAACAACTACATCTTAAGTAGAGTTTTATAAAAAGAAGCCCGAATGAGAGGATCTTGGGGGAGAGGGCTGCTATTGGCCGCAGCTCTCACTGCACTTCTATGCTTCAGTGCTGTAAGCACTGAGGACTCTCCTCCGAGCAAGGAAAGCAAACCATCTCCACCTGTTGGACCAAGGGCTGGTGGAAAACAAGACTCTGCTAGTGGTAGTGATTCCGCTAGCGGAAGTGGATCTGGCGGCGGCGGTGGAGGTTCAGGAAGTCCAAGCTTTGGTAAGCAGTTAGTCTAATAGCTGAAAAAAAATCAATGGCAAAACAAAAACAAAAAAGACAACTATTTTTTGTTTCAGGAATGATTTGGAAACCAAACCCCTTTCTCCTACTCGCAATAGCTGCTCTTCTTTTTGGACTTGACCGCCGCCACCACCTCACTTTTGGAAGGTAAAAAAACTATAAAACAATGGCACGAAAAAGGACTGTTTACACCGCAATTTCTCTCCATTTTCCTACTTTTTGTTAATTGGATAAAAACTACTTGCGCTTTTCCATCTATTATAGAAGAAAAAATGTAAAAGATAAAAACACAAAAATTAATAAATAGTTCATGTTAATCATCTGAATTACTTTTGTTTTTTATTACAGTAGTGTATTTTCTTGTTTTTTGTATTGTATTGTATAGAGGACAAAATTTTCAACCAAATTCTACCAAAATTAAAATTTTCAGCCAGAACTTCTAGTTTCTCAGTCAATGACCACAAATTTCCAGTCTACCACAATTAAACAAACGTACTCAAAATTGCCCACTAAGTGAAATTACCTGCTAAATTCTAAAGAAATTGTTTTGACCAATTCTGCCAAAAATTTTGAACAAATTCAATCGTTTGTTGAACAGAATATTGACAAAAAATTAAAACCAATTCCCTCTACTAACTACTCACTCTTGTTTTTCCACCATTTAACACAAGTTTCTAAAACAAAAAATATTTACAAAACGTTCGTTTATTCACTCAAAAATTACACCATAAATTCATGTAAGTTCACAGAATTTTCTGCCAGAAATCTTTCCACCTTTTTCAAGTTTTTGTATTTAAATAAAAATTATATTTGTTTTGATCAAATTTTCTATTAAATCCAACTGATTCCTTGGTCAAATGTGTTTTTTTAACAAAAGCAACCAGAATTTCCTGCCGGAACTTCAATCTTTTTTCCCAAAAATTTTCAGGCCACAATTCTTCAATTTTCTGAATCAAGCTCACAAAACAAAATGCTGACAGTTCTAATTTCAGCATAAATTTTTCCAACTCCAACTAGTTTGACTCAAGAGTTTAACCTTAAATTTTGTGTCTCAATCTTGTTAAAATTTGGTCAAATATCTAGAAAATCTTTAAAACTTAGGAAATATCAAAAGTATAAAAAAACTAATTGACAAATGATTTAATTTTTTCTAGTTTTAACAGATGTTTTCCAGCTTTTATGTACACATAAACTGATTTCACTGCCATTTTAGCTCTATTTTCGACATAAAAAATTGTAAAAATTCTGCCAGTTTAGGAAAACATTCACTATTAGAACTCTTAAAAAAAATATTCACAAAAAATTTAGCAATTTTTTAGACAAATACCCAGATATTTGTCTTAAGCTTCAGTTTTTCATGCTGTAAAAGTTGTCTCAGTATTTTCTCTGAGCTTACATTTTGTACATCAGCTGGTATGCTTCAAGCCAACTTAAAATATCTCAAATCTACCCACAAATAAGCTCAAAAAATAAATTGTCTACCCAGTTTTTGTTGCTAATTTTTAGCTAAACTTTAACACAAATTCTTACAGCTTTCAATCTTTTTAAGGCAAAATTTGAGGAAAAAATTAGCTACAATAATTTTATTCAATGACCAACTGTAATCATGAATATGAATTTTTAAATTTAACTTTCGTACCACAACTGGCAACTTCAAGCCAAAAAATCTATAAATATAGCTTACTGAAAATTAAGCTCAAAAACTTATTATTCATGCTTATTCTTGTACAACCCACAAATAAGCACAAAAAATAAATCTACCCAGTTTATAGAATGTCACCAATCTGTTTTTTCACAGCTTCAAGTTTTTTAAGGCAAATTTGAGAAAAAATTAGCTACAACAATTTTATTCAATGACATATGTAATAGAATTTCAAAAACAACTTTGTACCACAGCTGGCATGCTGTTCAAGACTATCTTGCCTACAATTAAGCACAAAAACAAATTTCAAACTGGTACCCAGGCATCATCAAAACAGAATTTGCTACCAGAACTTTTGTTTCCAGCATTTTTTCTACAACCTTATACAAAATCCTAATTTCCTAAATTTTAACAAGATTCTTCAACAAATTGTTGCAGCTTAACTTTTTAAAGCTTGTAGAGAAAAATGCAGCCACACAATTTGATTCAATAATTTTTAACGAATGAATTTGAAAAAGCAAACTTTTGTACCACAACTGGCACACTTCACAAAATTCTTCCACAGCTTATTGAATAATTATTTGTAATAGTCAAGATATGAATTTGAAAAGTTTAGCTTTTTTACCACAGCTGGTATGCTTCAAGCCAACTTAAATCTGTAAATCTAATTTACCCGCAAATTTTATAAGAACCCAAACCGACTCTCAATTCAGTCTACTCAAAGTTTTGCCAAAAAAAAATTTCTGCCAGAACTTTTTCCCTACAACTTCCAATCTTAATTTTCTGAATTTTAACTACAATTTTTTACCAATTTCTTCCACAGATTCAAGCTTTTTAAAGTACAATTTGTGGAGAAAATAATTTAGCCACACAATTTTATTGAACAATCATTTGTAATTGTCAAGAATATGAATATAAAATGCTTCGGTTTTGGTACCACAGCTGGTATATTTTACTTAACCCAGGTTTAAAAAAAATCAACCACAACTTTAAGTTTCCTGAGCTTTTTCCCTACAACTTTTTCTAATCTTAATTTTCTAAATTTTAATGCAACTCTTTACCAAACTCTTTCAAATTCAAGCTTAAGGCTCAATCCGTAGAGAAAAAATTCTTCACGCAACTTGAATTTATAAAATCTAGTTTACCCAAAAATTGTATAAGGACATAAACCTAATGTCAAACTGGTCTACTCAGGTCAGATAATCTACAGCTGTTCCCAAATCATTTTTCTAAATTTTAACACAATTTAACTTTAGATCAATTTGTTAAGAAAAATAAATAAAAAAGACACGATTTTGTTCAATAATCATCTGTAATTGACAATAAAGCATAAATTCTAAAAAGCTTACCTTTTGTACCACAGCTGGTCCCGTGGTATGCTTCGAGCCATGCCTGTGTGCCAAGAAGTTCATGTTGTGTTATTAGCAAGATAATATCCTTGGCCCAATATTTCTGTTCTAAAAACACAAAACTAGAAACCCTCGAATAAGACAAATAATTACACAAAAGTTTACTTCGGAAATAGTGGGCGATCGCAAGGAGCAGTGCGATGGACACCTTTGTGCTTGGATAGGGTGAATCTTTCCCTCGGAACGGCACAGACAGAACGATGGCTTCATTGGATGACCCTCCCCCTCTTATAATACCGTACACGTTCTTTCCTTCATAGCTCTATAAATCACACATTAGTTTTAAGAAAACAACCAAGACAGTCGCAATTTACCAGCCCGCGGTTTAAGGGGTGTTTGAGAGTAAAGTTGTGAACGTAGGATTCTATGCCCATCTGGGTGAAAGTCCCACGGATCCAAGATGTCGGAAGAGTGTCAGGCTCCCTATCAAGCACTGCTTCAAGCAGCTCGACATAATGCACGACATCCCTCGACACATCCGAGTCAAGCGCAACGAGGCCAGGAAGAAGAGCGTTCTCCGAAAGGTAAGTACCTGGGGAAAATAACAAAAGTTGCCCATTCTGCATACTAGCAGTATTTCAAGGGATTCTTAGGCTTGCTGATAGCTTAAAAGTTTACAGTCAGTTGACCTGGGAAAGTTTACCCAGCAGGTCGAACCAAACAAGCCTAGTTTTAAAAACTGAAAATTTGCAGATACTCGTCTATAAACGGATTCTGTGTGAAATTACCAGCGTTTATCTGGTCGTGGGCGAGCAGGCAGTACCAAACAACGGACAGTAAATAAAGAAAAGCGCAAATCCCTCCGTGGTTTTTAACAAGGAACTGAAACGGACGTCCCCGCAGACCAGACGGGTCTGTGAGCAGTCCCATTATTTCCACAGAAACAGAGCAAGAGAAAAAATAAAAACCTTAGCTTAACACTGATCACTGTTTACAAGTTCGCCGGTTAGTAAACTTCATTATCGTTATCAGTCATGACAATGAATCCATTCACGGGCTTCGATTTTTACGATGATCAGAAAAGAAAAAAATTGTCTACCACAAAAACTCAAATATTTTAATATAAAAATATTATTACAAAATTTTAAAAGTAAAAGATTTTCAAAAAAATCATGTTCGTCTTTGAATAAAATCTGCTGTTTAAAGTTTACTTAAAAGTGAATAAGCCCTTAAAGAAACAAAGAAAAATCGTTTGCGAAAATTTTCTAATCAGGAGGATACGATTTTTTTTTGGCCAAAGTGCCTTCTGTTGGTACTCCACTCAACCCCACTTCGCCCTACCGAGTACCAGACGGCAGACCGCCTCCAAACTCCAAAGTCCGAACAATTGACAACATTCCGAACGGGAATAATAAAAAGTAAAGAAAAAATGCTCTTTCGAAAAGTAAATTTATTCCCGTAATGGGATTTTTATTCTTTTCTAAATTAATCGACGAAATGGGCGACGGAGCGAACGAAGATTACCAGTCGGATGAAGACATTTTCTGTAAGTACACGGTTTCACATTTTCCTGCCGACGTCTACAATTTTCCATTCACACAAAATTAAACATTTCAAAAAATTTTTAGAGAAAAAAACAATAGTATAGGCTATATTTTACCCTGTTCTCATTAAAAACAAAAAACAAAGATATTTTATTCAATCGAACATTTTTCTGTTATCAGTTGTTTTTTTAAACATTCCGGTATTAATAATTTTCTCATGTCATATTTGCATCGTTTACGTAGCAAAAATTTTAAGTTTCCTTCCAAATAGAGAAACAACTTGATAAGCAGAAACTTGAATATATATATTATATTGGAAAATATTTCTTCTACGCAAAGACAAAAAGACCTGATATGAGAATTGTACTTAAGCACTGCAGCGATTATTTTGGTCCAATGTACCGATTCTTGGAGGAAACAGTTATACTGTATAGTCTGATAGTTTATGTCGAGAGTGAATGTATTTATTGGCGAGAATGTGTAGTGTGTTAGGGCCAATGATGGCATTAGAGTACCCCATCGTCCCTCAGTTGTTATATAATTGGTATAAAGTGTGATGGAAGAATATCAAGAACTCCACCACTGATTGATTGAATGGCAATGAAATAGGAAATAAGATATTTAAGAATGAATGAGAGAGGCGTCGGCGAACTGTAAGATCCAGGGTTCGAATTCAGCAGCCCTGCATTCACTTACATTTTTTTTTTTTTCTTTCAAAAACACCGGCACTCCGAGGGTTCATATAACCTCGTAGTTGAAATATCCTTGTTTAAAAGAAAAAGAAAAAGTTGAGAGTTTGAATCAGCTTGGATCTGGGAACTGCATGCGTTGAGAGATCGACCCTGGTGGCTGGATGAATAAGACCAGGGTCGTCCCCCGGGCAACCAACACTCAGATTACAAGGCCTGCCGGCAGTTAATTGTAAATTACAAAAGCTGAAATTGCTGGTTGACTGCTAGAAATGATAGGCTTAATTCTATACCTATGTGTCTGTATGTACATACATGTGTAGATTTGATTATATAAATCCAAATCCGAATAATTTTTTTTAATATAAAAAAACGTATTTGTTAATTTTCTATAATAATTATTAATAACTTGTTTGTTGTTGTTTACCTTTATAGAGTGTGCTTAATTCTTTTACACTGTTTAGATTAAACATAAAGAAAAACAGTTCAATTTCATCCTTTACAAAGCCAAATTGTCAAGTGAGTTAATTGGCTTTTTAAGTTCTCTTTGATGAAATAAATTTGGATAAAAAAAGTTAATTTTTTTGTTAGATCTTGCCTGGGCATATGCTTTGACCAATGATGGACGTAGAGTCTGTAATAGCCCAAGCCCTGAGGGCCACGTGCTTGTAGACCATCCACTAGGGTCTACAGCGGTTTAGAGCCACTGGAAGTGTCAATTGAAGAGAAGGTAGTGGTTGACCATGATGTACGACAGGTAGAGATGATAGTTTATTGCTCTTACCTATAGGTAATCAACTTCAAATGGCCTGTAATATAAGGGTGAGGTCTAAAACTCATCAGAAGGCTTTGTGAGAATAGCCTAATCTCTAGACGTCCTGCATCAGGTTCTTTGCTACCAAAGAGGCATCGAGTAGAAAGTTTTTGTAAATCAGCTTCTCACTTGGACAATGGGGGGGCTGCTCGTTCCACAGACGTGGAGAACGTTTTGCTTCATCAGTCATAGCCTTTTCAGAGTCAGTTACGGTATGGGGTGAATCTCCAAGTCCGTACTGAACTTATACTGGACTGATCTGTGACTGCACTAAGATACACTTAGGAAGTTCTACTGGAAACTATGGACCCATTCGCTCCAATTATTGGGGACAACTTCGTGTTAATGCATGATAATGCTTGACTGCATGTAGCTCATCCATTACTTGGAGGATGTAGGGATTACCACAATGAATTCTCTCGATATGAATCTTATGGAACTAGGGTCTCCTGTTTTGATTTTTAAGGAAAATGGAGGCTTTCTTCCACCTTTAATTTGTGTAGCTGTACAGTTTATATGTATATAGTGGTGTGTATTTGTATGAATAAATAAGGAAGATGGCCAATGGCACAATACCAAGTGCGTACTTAAAAAAAACAGACAAAAAACGCTGAGTTCCCCCTAGAAATCTTTGGTTTTCCTTACAAATTTGACTTGTGGTTTTTCTGCCTCAAAGAAAATGGTATTATCTTGCTTTATTTTCAAACAAGAGCAGTAATTGATATTTTTTCTGTATAGTGTCACCCAGGAAGAAATCGTTGAGAAAACTGTTGCCGCATTGTTCTCCGCAGCAACGGCATGATGGCATAATGAAAAAAAGAGTAGATACTATGCGGGCGATGATGGTCGGAATACCGCCGCCACCTGAGATGACCAATCCCGACTATAATCTGCTCAACATACTCGAACGTTACGAGTCCGGACTGGAACAATATAAATGGAATCAAAGTATGTATTTCAAAATTGTTGTCCGAAGCTGTTTCCACATCTGGAGCCTGTTTCAGATCCTAATTTCAAGGAGGAAGGAGAGAACCCTCTCGGAATCTGCCTCAACCAAGATCAGTCTTGTGAGGAAATGGAACAACTTTTCCAATTGTTCGGATCTCGTTATATTTTCAATGAGACGTACTGCTGGACGGGGCGAGTTGTCGTGAACATGACGGAATCGGCCAAGAAGCGTAAAAGAACGAATGGATGGTCAGCTAGTCCAAAGACGAGGCTGAGCTACCTGTCAAAACGCAGGACTACTTTTAGGGTAGTTTCACCTCGAAAAACTTTTATGTTTGTCAAGTAAGTTTTCTTCCTTTAAAATGAGTTTCCATTTTTTTTTTTTTTTTTTTTTTTTTTTTTTTTTTTTTTTTTTTTTTTTTTTTTTTTTTTTTTTTTTTTTTTTTGTAGTCATATTTTATGTTAAAACATTTGCAGAGAAGATAAAAAAGGAAGCAATCCAGTTCTTCTACGTCCAAAAAGAGCTTTATTCCAAAGTCCAGAAGAAAAAAGCACTAATTACAAAACACCAGAATGGCAAGTTTTATATTATGCACATTTTTATTTATGAATGACTGTATTTTAACTTTCCACATTTCCCTAGTGGTCGTAGTAGGCCTAGAGTAGTAGGAGGAGGGAGACAGGGGTCTCCGCTCAAACGTCTCACACCGTCTACTTCTTCAGAGAAGAGACGCTGCTCACGCAGCTTGTTTACAAATAACGAAGAGGAAAAGGGAGGAAGTCTGTCAAAGGCACACAAACAAGTATAACTTCTTACTTTAAAGTTAGCAATATGCTAAAAAAATTAGAAATGGTTTTATTTTTATAGAAACTTCTTTGGGCCGTGTCAAACGCCCTCAGAGAACGCGGCCTCATTTCAAAAAGTGACGGTTTCAAGGCGGCAGCGACAGAACTGTACAAAATCACGCAAGAAGCCTGGATATCTCGGAAAGAAAAAGGGCGATGCGGTTCGACAAGTGAACTCATGTTGAATATAGCTCGCAGCATGGCAGAGAGTCAAGGGTGATTATTCAATGTTTGACATTTGAAATGATGTTTTGACGAATCATCTTGTTCTCCAGTCTGGGAAGTAAAGCGGTTAAAAGTGAACCTGACGCTTCAGTGTCTCCAGCCAAAGAAAACGAGAGCCCGAATAAAAAACGGAAGAGAGAGACGCCGAAGAAAACACCAAAGAAAACTCCAAAAAAATCTCCTAGGAAAGAAACACCCCGAAAAACACCAATAAAAACGCCATTGAAGCCTTCCTCTCGTACTCCTAAGAAAATTATGAGGTAATTATTATGATTTACAGTAGGAAAGCTGTTTATCCCAACTCTAAGGGACCAGGACTGGTCTGGATGATGGAAAGTCCGGATAATCTGAAAATTTGTGATTTTATTAGGATCGTGTCATAAAAACACACACACATACGAAAGTATACATTTGTAGTTACATTTCAAGTTACATTTAAAGTAATAGTCTTTTATTGACTTGTTTTAAGTCCGGATGCGTTTGCGAAAAATGTATGCATAAAAAAATGTATGTAATAAAAAAAAGCTTTTTTCACCTCATAGCAAATAAGATACTTTTTTTTAGTTAAAAAAAAATTAAACAAAAACATGACTATCGGCCTGTCTAGCCTCGTTGATCATGTGACTAGTGGAAGTACAATTCGGCAGCCTTTAAGGATTTTGAACGACAAATTAAAGGTCTCATAGTTGAATTTTGAATTTAAACAAAATTAATATACATACTTTGAGAATTATGAAAAATTTAATAAAATATACACAGCTCCGTATAATCGGGGTCTGGATAGACGGGTTTCCACTGTATCATTGTATAACAAATTTTAATATTGAAGAGGCTACAACAGTCAAATACGCACTCATATTGAACTTTTAGGTATCCAAGCAATTGTGAACATGAGGCCCGTTGGCTTGAACCTCCTAAATACAATATAAAAACTAAAATTCTAAGTGAGATATAGAATTAAATGAATATGTATATGGTTCACTAACTGCGCTGAATTTAGCTTTTCCTAAAATTACTTTGCTTAGCTAAAAACTTTTTTTAAAGACTTTTTAGCAATTTTCATAAATAATTTCATTTAAGCTGAGCTTGCCTCTAAACGCCTGTTAATTAATGTTTACTCTGTTAAACCTTAAGTTTTATCACAAGTTTGCAAATGCGACTAAAGTCTATGTGGCTACAAAGCAAACGCAATGGGCAAAAAAAAAAAGATGCAGCAGATTAAATTATGCCACTAAATTCAAGTGAGGTTTTAAGATATCTATGAAAATAAATAAAATTCTTTGACAGAATTACAAAAGTACATTCCACTATTATATGGATTTTGACAATCTATAATTGTGTAAATTTCAAATTTGTTAAAAAATTGACTTCAATGTAATATCAAAACTATTGGCTGTCATAGCTATTTAACTTACTAGCTTATACTTCGAAGTGTTATTTAACCTTTCTGAAATGTAAGGGTTCAATTTCTTTACTGATAAAAATTATCATCTTATAGGTAAATTCCACAAATGCAACGTGGTTTGAAAAATTGAAAATGTTAATGAATTTGGGAAAATTTATGAATAAATTACAAATTTAAAAAAGTCCAAAGGAAATTTCATAATTCTTATGCATATATTACTCTTTTGACAATATACTTTCGATTTTAAAAACCAGAAAAAAATTTTGAAAAATTTATCGGTTTTTCCACTTAAATGTGTTCCTGATTTAGATTTATTAAATTTAGGGCATATAGATAATTTTATATATTTGTCCTATTTGGCTCCAAATTTGATCATTTCTTTCAGCGTATTTTCAGAGAAATAATTATGGTTATTTCCAATTAAAAAAATTTTGGTTTTGCTTATTTGTTTTATTATTGGTTACTCTGCTATCAGAAGAATCTCAATGCAAGAGGGTTGCGATGTGTATTTTATTTTAAAGAAATACAGTCGACTCTTGTTAATTCAAAACTTGATAATTTCAATTTCTAGATAATGCGAACTCCTCAGCTTCGCTTCGGTAAATCGAAACCATTCTGTGTGTTTTGATACTTGGTAACGAAATGTTTTAATTAACAGGGGGAGAAAAAGCGTGCTCTTAATCAAAATGGAGCCACCTCCCATCTTTATAATTTGCACTTTTTCTTTGATATATTCCACTAAATTTCCACATATTGTTTACTTTCTTATAGACTAAAGTTTCTTTCCAATTTCCTCTAGTTTGTTGTTCTGCGGTCAGTGTTTTGCCAATGTGTTCTCAGCAGTGTTTCTATGGTATATATGTCCAATTTAAGTAATAACTTGGAAAAATGTGTATCAATTCTTAACATTTTTTCTTTCCTCTTGATAATTTGAATTATTTTTGTGGTTGGGTTTGGAATTATCAAGAGTCGACTGTATATGATTTTTGTAGCGTTGTGGTTGTATAAGACATTATATTTTCATATAAGTGCAGGAATACGTCATTCCGTTTAGCTCTATCTAACAAGAAGCCATTCAGTTGTGTTGCTGAGGCGATTTTTTGCAAGTGCCTCTTGCATTTAGAAATTTCTGAGGAAAAAATCGCCCATGTGCGCTTACCGTAAACTGAACAACTACTATCTTCCCAGTAAACTTAGCATATACTTATGCAAAAAGTCCTCATAATAGCATCATTATTTAAAACCATAAAATATAACGGCGTCTTTTAAATAGCAAAAACTTTATGCAAAATCTCTATTCCTTTCAAGATGAAACATGCTAACATCATGGGGGGGGTATAATTTTATCATGAGCTAACTTTGGAATCATCAATTTTTTTTTTTTTTTTTTTTCGGCCACCGACACCCCTTTTTTTCCTTCTGCTATCAAAGAAATTGATATTTTCGAAGATTACCAGGCTATGTGGTGTTCTTTGGCACAAAAGTTGCTGAGGCAACTGGTGTAATGTTGTATGTAAAAATAAAAACATGAGAGAAAATGTGTTGTTTTATCGTAAAAGAGATGGAAATTGCCCGACTTATTGCTCATTTGAAAAATTAAGTTCGTTATAACTGAAAGAAAGAAAATTCAATTGATTACAAATTAAAACGCTAATCAATTTTTGTTGAAATGTGTGAATGCAATCTGATTCGTTACTTTTAACTTTTTTTTATTAGTTAAAGTTGTTTTCGGCCATTTGATTTAAAAATATTTATAATCATACTTTCACTTGATCTGGGTGGTAACATATTTCATAAAAACAATTAATTAATATATTATTTATTGTAATTGTCAGTAAATTGGAAACTTATTTGAACATAAATGCTACTTTTATTTGTATTTATTTATTTATTTGTTTAGTTTACAATCCTTGGCAGACAGCCCAGTGAGGAAAAAACCGAGAACAAGAATGGATTCACCTAGCTGATAGCAGGTGTATATATAAAATAATATATCAATCCTATTTTGTAAAATATTTAAAATAAAGATTTATATTTTAAGTACATTTTGCTCAACTTTGATTTAATTGTTTATTTGAAAGAAGAATAAAAGCCTGATCATTTCAATATAAATATATTTAAAAAAAAAGAAAAACAGATTTTTTGGCAGGTTTCCTTATCTGCTAATGCAATTGTTTGTTTTTTTTTACTTTCATTTAATCTTTACGTTTTATTTTGCCTTCCTAAAACTACCTCGGCCCTTCTTTGCGCCTTTCTTCGACTTTTCCTCTTCTGCCTGAAACATGTTTTCAGTTATTAAAACGACTTTATGATTAAACAATTTATTTTACCTTTCGCTTCATTGCATTATTCGTCGTGCCTAAAACTGAAAAAAAACCGTCCAGTCGGCCCTGCGTACTTGAGCTCTTCGCCTTGGCAAGTTTCCTCGCCCCAGAACGGACCCTATCTTCTGTGAAGTTGCGATCGCCACAGAGGAACTCGACCAGGCCGTCTTCATCTGGTTCAGTCCATTTCAACTGAAATAGGAAAATTATCAAAAATTGAATTTATGCTGATTTATAACTTTTTTTACCTCGATTTCATCAGGATCTAAAATTTCAGGATCGATGAATAACCTTCGTGCTTCTTCAAATTCCCAATCTTCTGGTACACCGTACTTTTTCTTATCAATTTTTTCTATTATATTTTCTATGGTCTTGTGCTGTCGTATGAGCTCGATGGCTCTTTTCGGACCGATACCGCGAATCGAGGGACAGTAATCGCAGCCAAGGAGGATACAAAGGTCTATGAATGATTCTTTTGCTAATTCTAAACCGGCGAGGACTTTCTCTAAGCAGAACTCCTGAATCGGCATTTTTCTCGCTTCTGAAAAAGTCATGTGGCGGAGTAACACGCTTGAACCGAAAGTAAGAGCATCCATGTCTTCGGTAGCGACAGCATAGACTTTGTTTTTCTTGACAAGGGCTGCGCATTGTGCCTCAGCTTCGCAAGGTGCTTCTACATAAGGTACGCCCATAAGCTTTAACAGCTGTTTGCACTCGTCAGTGTGTGTTTTTGTAACTTTGACAAGCCTTCTGTTGAATTTTTCCATCCCAGCAGCGTCTCCAGCTTCCGTCGCCTTTTCAAGCTCTTTTTTCGCCTCTTCCCTGCGTTCTGCTCGCTTTTCAAGCTCAGATGATTTCATTTTAGGCGGTTTCCCATCAAACACAAACACAGGCTTTATGCCATTTTCAACTAGTCGTATTGTCCTATAAAACGTGCCCATCAAATGGCTGAAATAAAAATATCATTATTGATGGTACCAATTTTAAAAATTTGTATTATTGAATCTTCCTTTATGCACCTGGTCGGCTCACCATCTACTGAAGTAAGTTGATGACCCTCACTACGCACAGCGATTAAAAACTGGTAAAGGGACATAGAGGCATCAATCGCAACTTTCCTCCCTAAAATCATCAATTACTAACTTAAACAATATTAAATTACTGACACATGGACATCTGCTTTTGAGGCAAAACCCCCGTAAAGAAAGGTCGCTCAGTGTGTACTTGATCAAGGAGGCCTTGGCCCCTTATATGGAGCAAGCAGGTATGACCCCCAATATAAAGACTTAGGCATAAGAGTAAGTGTTTGAGACCCCTGTTCCGATTTTAAGGAAAAAGGGATTGTGCAAGTATTGTACTTAATGTATTTTTGTGTGGTTATACATTTTGAATGAGTGAGGTTGTGCACTTGAATGAAAGAGGAGTCAGTGAGAAGGCTGATGGCCGAACATCAAGTACCCGTCAGTCCAGGCAATGCAATGGGGACTGATATAACTACATTATCTCAATTTAAAAAATTATTTCAATTAATCTTTTTGTCTAAGATCTTGGTAGAGATGAAAAAGTTAGTGTCAAGAGCGGGATTCGAACCTATGAACTTCGGTTCAATACCTACAACACCATTTGACCTATTTAATTATTTAAATTAATTATGCTTTTTATCTAAGGTCGTAGTTGAGATGGTCAATTATGACCGCTAAACATGAATGGATTAATATACAATTAAAGAAATAATCACTGCTAACAGCTCCTTGTGGCCACTTCATAAGTCGCTGGGAATTGAATCCTGATTTCACGACAAAAAAAGAGGGAAAATTCGAAAGATTGTAGGTTGAGATGGGGCGTTGGTGTCCCAGTGGATCAAAGTCATGATAGCTCAAGTGGTTAGAGCAGCGGCGTATTGAGCTGAAGGGTTCAAATCCCGCTCGTGATGCTGACTTTTTCATCTCAACCAAGACCTTAGTACAGTGAATTATTACTGCTAAACATGAATGAACAATTATTAGTAAAATATTTATAAATACACACTTATTATGTGTATAAGGGATGTGCCAAAAGAGGCAATACGATCATAATAGAACAGTTCCAAAACAAAGTTCTACAAAATACGGCACATGCTACTCGGTATGTTCGCAATAGCGATATACCCAGAGATAAGAACATCCTGCACATCGACACAGTATGCCTATAAGCTCTACCTTCGTCTTCAAATTAACCCAAACACCGATGCCAGTAAACGACTGAAGAGGTCTAAGGACTTTGTTCTGTAAAAGTTACGAGGTGAACTCAACTAGATTAACTGTAACACTAATGAATGAACTGAAGAGTATTTATTACTAAATTAGCCAGTGTGATATTAATAGCTGGTCTTATTTGACCAGTTTTAATAAATAAATGTATTAATAAAAAAAAAGTCTTGTATTAGGATTTATCACCCTGTAGACTATAAAACTAAAACTCTTAGTATATTTGAATTTTTTAATTGTATTTATGCTTTGTAATACTTTGTTGTTTTTGATTATCCTGGGCCGCCTGTCATTTTTATTCAGTGGGTTTTAGAGTTAATTACCCAGCAGGACCAAGAAATAAATCCAACAGTCTGGCATGACTGTCATGCCTTTTCGGCCAGTAATGAATTTAATAATTCATCGAGAAATCGCATCAAGGCTCATGACCAGGCGAGTTTTTGACCTGTGCAGGCCCTAGGGAGTGTCGTACCAGCTCGCATGAAGGGAGGAATGACTCAGACGAATTATATTTTCTCCTCCGTCGACGACAATTAATTACAAATCCGTCCTCAGGGACATATTAACATTTTTGCCTATGCACAAAATCATGCGGCAATGTGCAAATCAAAATTAGCTTTCCAATCCTGTTGAACATGAGACTATGATCTTGACGAGATGGTAGATGCTCTGCTCAGTAGCGACATACACAGAGATCTGAACATCATATGGTATACCTATAATCGCTACCTTTGTGTTCAAAGCCAACTAACACCTAGGTCATCTGTGTAGTCAGCACATCGTAAGATAACCGAAGAGTACTAAGACATTTGAGATCTAACACTTTCATGATTAAATGGTTGTACTACCCTAGGTTATCAGATTCTAATGATTCTACTTGAAAACCTTTCTAGAATGAAAGATTACAGAAGTCCATCTTTCATAGAGAAAAAGGTTCTCTTGGCGAAAAAGATCGTCAACTGTGTATATTTTACATCTCACCTAGTTCTACTCGATAGACATACATCTTGAAATAGACCTCACTCACCGAAATAATGTTTTATTTCGCTCTCTTTGACAGCAGAGGGGCAAACATCGGCGATTAATTTGGAAAGACCCAAAATTCCCATTCTGTCGATAATCACAAAGTCACAAACAAGTATACACAGAACGGAATTTTCTGGCGGGAACACCTGCCAAATCTTATCACTGTTCTTCAAAATTACACGGAAGGTTGATCACAACGAGCACCCCAAATGCCCACAATATGAAATAATAATTGAGGTTCAATTATTTTATTATTATTTAAAATTATATAGTAAACAAATACATTTATTATTGGATATTATATTCTAATTGTTAAAAATATTTCTATAGGATTAAAGTTTAAATTTGCATATAAGAAATATGAGCATGTTGTCTCCTTGAAATTAAAGGATAGCACATAAATTATATACCATCGATTTTTTTTTAAACAGAACCATCTCTTATTAAACTTCAAAATTTATTAAAAACAATCAGTTCTATAGTTTTTTGTAGCTATGTAATAATCGATTTCAATATTCACAATGTCGATAGTACAAGTTCAAATTTTATTCTCAACAAGTGGCACATAGTTTTCACTATCTTACCACATAAAAACGCTTACAATTTACAAAATGTTGAGACTACAACAAATCCAATTACACCATATGGAAGAACGCTAAATTTGCTGTAAGATACTTCTATTTGAAATAATCTGAATGACATAAAATGTTAACCAATATCAGTTGGAACATGTCAAAATTTAAAATTTTGGTCATGATTGCACGTTCTACTGAGGTTACAAAAAAATACCTACAACTTATCAAATTTCACAAAAACGTTTTCATCTAATATGCTTTACGTTGATATATCCAGGTTTTTAAATAACGTTCTAGTAGAGTTGAAAAATAACAATTGAATATTCGAAAACGTGAGCTAAGGTAAATTTGAAGGGGGGTAGAAATAAATCAATTAGAACTCGCTTTGTAAAATAAAAATGACACTTGTTTGACCGGTTGAATGCTGGATGAGTTGTTAGGTGCTTGCTACGAGAAGAACCATTGCATTTTATTGTATGAAGCTTTCTGGTATGGTTTTTGTGAGATTACACCATGTATTTTATGTATTTAAGGTAGTGAAAAGTTGAAAAACCTAAATGGACGAATATCTTCAAAATAGAGAACTTTCCGAAAATTGTCTCCTGGGCAATTTTTGCTCCAAATGAAGAGTAGAATTGATTCCCTGAGTTTCGTCAGAAGGAACTGGGAACCCGGTATAAACAGAATTTAAAATAATTGGCATCACAACAATCCGATCAAATTATAATGTCACAAAAGTCTTTTGTCTTCTGGGCCGATAGTCATAAATCAGGATAAAAATACCTCTGGACTGCAATGATAAACTATCATAAAAGTTTTTAACTACTTCCAGCAAGAGATTTTCTGCTTAGCAGGTATTCTGAAATATTACAGTATACTGTATGATCACACTGTGGGTCCATGACCTCGCAGACCTAAACAAAACAAGTCACAACTTGGAAAAGTACTTTCCATTGGGTAGACAATAGATTCAGTAGGTCATAAGAATGACCAATAAGTAGGGTCTAAATTACAAGGTCATCACCTAGCAGACCCCCATCAGGAAATTTTACATTCTTCAAAGGAAATGTGTGACAGACTAAAACAGTCAGGATAACATATCAAGATGATCAGACGATCAAATTACAAATGCATGACCTCATAGACCTGAACAAAACAAGTCAAAATTAAAGAAAAAGGATTTTCCATGGGGTAGACAATAGATTCAGTAGGCCAATAGACAGGGTCCAAACAGGTTCCCTGCATAATGGGGAAATTTAATATTTCTAACACTCACAGATGATAGATAATAATAGCAGGTGTAATAGTTATACAGCAAATCAGGGCAAAACAGAGATGATTAGCATTCCTTGATCAGAGACGATCAAACTGTGGGTACATGACCTCGTAAACGTCAACAAAGCAAGGCTTAACCGAGGAAAGTGGACTTTCCATGTGGTAGACAACCAATTCAGTTGGCCAATAAATTGCACTCCACGAAGAATAAACTGAAAGTCTACAACTGAGCAGATCCATAAGGAAATTTTACATTTTAACATCCACTTTAGATTCTTGCCTTGAAATGTATATTCCAGCTAAATGAAAAATTTACTATAAAGTTATAAAATTTAGCTCTTTTGTTTTCTCCCTGTCGGCCTGTTTTTTATAAGACTTTTTATAAAATAGCGGTCTTTTTTGGAAAAAATTTTTTGTTTGTTTTACCGGTAGCTACCGTCGGGTCAGCGCTCGCCTTGGTCGCCTGAAGAAGCGCAAAACCTCAGAAAAACCCTACAACAACTTAGCAATGCCATCTTCGTGTTTAATTCGACCGATTGTTTTAAAAAAAATTAAATCTTGGGTTTAGTTTTGCAAGAGTAAAATTTAAAATTGAACCGGTCATTTTATTATCCGTTTGTAATTTCCATTTAGAAAGTGGTGCTTTTTATCAAAATCAAGCTTATCGATGCCCCACCACAGGTCGCAGCATCGAAGAGTGGAACGGTCGATTGCCGAGTCGGCCCTCGGCACCCAACCCTGGCAATAAAGGAGGCTTCGACCCCGTATCGTGAGAACGGATCTGCAGTCAGTATTTACTGTAGATATAGTCAATAATTGATTTAGAGGCTTCGTTTACGATTTCTCAGTCGAGAATTGACAAAATGAGCCGTTCGGAGAAAGACAGGGCCAAGCAGATCCAAGATAAATGCCAACAACTCCTCAACCAGATGCTGAGGGACGAAGACAACAAATACTGTGTCGACTGCGATGCCAAAGGTAACTGGTCACGATCCCCGCCCTCAAGGGGCTTATTACAAAATTCAATTATTTCAAAAACTTTAAATTAAAAATTCAGATAAGATAAGTTTTATCACTAAGTTGATTAAGTCAAATTGGTCATTAAATAAACCAATCGACGTGGCAAATTGGTTGAAAACCGTCTCTGATATCCCAGCTCATTTTAAAAATGAAAAAACAAATACAAATTTGAATGTATTTATTGCATTTGCAACTTCTCAAGAACAACTACAGTTTAGGAAATTGAACAGAAAAAATCAAAAATATTTTAACCCAAACTGTAGCACCCTTTGTTTTACTACTTAAATGGACACTACTCCTCAGAGTCTTACTCAATTTAAAAAAAAAATGAAATTTCACCGATTTAATCAACTAGCCATGATTCTTTATTGCATAATGCCCAGTTATGCTTTTCAGTGTTATGAACCCCTCAGACAATATTACAATACTTTTCTTTGCACAATAATTGTCTTAAAATTACAAGAACAATATCTGGATCTAATCACAGATTGATTGAAACCACCATAATTAATGAAGTATCCACAATTTAGGATAAAGTAAAGCGATTACTGTTGTATAGGAGGGCTTAATGTATAACGAAGTTGTTTGGGTGTCATCGACCCGATAGAACATCTGACAATACTTTATCTTGCAATAGTTATCGTAAAATTCAAGAGTAACCAGGATCCAAACGTGGATTGATTGAAACAACCATGATTAATGATGTATCCACAGTTTAGGATAAAGTTAAGTACTTTCTGTCATATTTAATGTATAAGTCAGTTGTTAGGTGTCATCGACCCATCTTTGACCCTCAACTTACACATTAGGTGTTATGGACTGACTAGATGATATTACAGTACTTTCTTTCCCCAATAATTGTCATAAAATTCCAATAGAAGTGCCAGGATTGAAGCCCAGATTGATTGTAACAATCATGATTGAATATGTGTCTACAATTTAGGATAAAGTGAAGAAATTTCTGTCATATAGGAAAGCATCAGAACACTTAAAAGTACTTACTTTAACAATAGCTGTTATAAAATTCATGTAGATGCATGTACAATTATTACAAAGTAATTTTTGTTATTTTTTTAAAATTTATACAATAAGTGTATAACCAATTTAATATACATATATTTTAAAAAATTATCTTTTATAAGGTGCTTTATATCTTTTTAAAACATTCTTAGCACAGCCATCTATTATTTAGTCAATTATTTAGTAAAACTCATTGTAAAAGGAAATTTTGTAAATAACTATCTCATTGGTTATACACTTAATATAATGTATAAATTGTTATCATTTTTAGGAATAAATGTTACACGTGAAAATCGCCAGTTAGGCTGAAACGTTTTGAAAAAGGTTTTGTATATTACTTTACAAAAAAAATCCTAAAAAATAAATCAAAGATTATCTATCTGGGAAAAGAAGAGGAATGAAAAAATAAATAAAATAATGTAATTTCGCATCCAAAACTCTTGGATCATATAGGGATTCGTCATACAGGAGGGCCAACTTCCCCATTATTTCTCATGGACCCCTCAGACAACATTGCAATACTTTTCTTTCCTGTACAATTGTCATAAAATTCAAAGAACAATGCCAGGAGTCAAACCTTGATTGAAGATGTGTACACAATTTAGGATAAAGAAAAGTAATTTCTTTCATGTAGGGTAGCTTAATGTATAACTTGTTTGAGTGTCATCGACTTATCAGAATACTTGAAAATACTCCTTTTTTTCCAATGAATCTTATAAAATTCCAAGGGTATTGCCAAGATTTGAAGATTATAAAAAACCCATTGTTTTGATCTCTTGAATGTTATGTAGATTAATTAAATTTAGTAGAAAAAAAAATTAGTAAAAATTTAGTAAAAGTAGTCATTCCTGCCATACAGGAGTATTTATTGGCCAAATTTCCCATGGGTGAGTTTCTTTAAAACTTCCAGGCTTTCTTCACTGTTCTGGTCTGTCAGATACATTTCACCACCATCAATGGTGGTTTTGGTGGGTTAAATGGCGAAAACAAGTTGAAAGAGGTAAAACTAGGTCAAGCTGAATTAAGCTAAACATTCGAACATATTTTGCAATCAGTAAACCTTGATTGTTTTCATATAATCCTGGTGTGCTTACTGTAACACAAATGACACCAGGATAATTAGAAACGGCCAAACTATAAATTTGAAAGTGGAATGTGTGGAAGACTGCAAAAGTAGCAGGTTGAGGGCAATAATGTATAAAAGTGGTTCCCAAAGTGGTCCCTGCAGACCCCCAGTATCTTTCAGGGGGTCTATGGAAAATTAAAATTGATTTGGTGGGGGTCTCTGAACAACGTCAGGGGGTCCGCACAAGGTTTAATATAAAATAATATAGCATAAATAATAATATAATATAAAACAGAAGTACATTGGTTATCTAAAGTGCATGTTTAAATCGATTTATGTGCTCTTTGATTTGCGACACAATTTAATTAACTCAAAAAATGACATAGCCTATATGTCTGATTTATTTGCCAAAGTTAACGAAACTAATTTGAAACTACAAGGTGACCAATTAAATTTAATCAAAACTAAAAGCGTAATATCTGCGTTTGTTGCAAGACTTTTTCTTTACAAACAAAATTTAGGAAGAGGAGAATGCTCTCAGTTTCCAAATCTTTCGAAATTGCGAATTAGAGATGAAGATTTGCTTGCTTACTGTCAACACTTAATGGCTCTTCAAACAGACCTGAACAAAAGATTTGAAGACATTCTTCACTTGGATATTCCCGACTGTGTGCTGAACCCTTTTGCGCGCAGACAAACTCAGCTCCCAAACACAGATGAATCCATACTAATACAGGAGCAGCTAATTGAAATATCCACAAATGAGGTACTTAAACCAAAGTTTAAGTTGATCAACAAAGATACCACAAATTATGGTTACAAAAACAGATCCCAATTTTATATCCTGCATTATGGGTTATTGTACAGAAGTTGTTGACTGCTTTCCCGTCTTTGTATGCGGTAGAACGTGGATTCAGTGCCATTATGAACCTCATCACAAAAGAAAGAAACCAATTCAATTATACACTCATAACATCTCATCACGTTCATCCAAGTATTTAATTTTTTTATATTTTATTTTAAAAAGTATTTAATATTATAATTTATATATATTTATAATTTCAAAAATACTTCTTCAACAAAACTTTTTTTTAAAATTTGTAATTTTTATATTATGCATTTATGTGGCTTTTTCACTTGGGGGTCCGTGGGCAATTTTTGACTATAAAAAGGGGGTCCACGGGTCAAAAAAGTTTGGGAACCACTTACGTATACTAAACAGTCAGTCTGTATAAAACTCATTTGAGGCTGTCCTTTCAAAGAAGTCATCACTTATCAAATATACCATATATGATAGGAGTAATATAAGGCTAGAGAATAGCCCTTTTAAGCATATCAATGGCAGCTCCCACTCACGTCCTGCAGGTACTCATTTCTGTTCCAACTGAAAGAAGGAAAGGAAACATTTTTCTTTAATCTGAGTTCGTCTGACATACAGTGGTTTTGAGGAGCACTGATAAACCAGTTTTGAGCCTTCATTGATCATAGGATTGTAGACTCATAGCAGGACAGATGGAACAACGGTAGAAAAGGGAGGCTAACCCGTGTGTTCTTCCCCAGTATTAAATTATGAAGGAGTGCAACATGGTTCCAGCTAGAATTGTATGTATCACAAAAAGCAATGGGACATGAGAACTTTAACTCCTACCCTCCAAATTAAAAATATTCCATTCAAACTGCAGAATAGAGGATGATACAGGTTTCTGAACTGTTCTCTTTACAAGTATGCGAGAGAACCTTTGAAGATCCTCCTCCTTCGTCTCAACTGGCCACCAGATTTAAAAACTTTGGTTCTAGATAGGAGCACTTTGATGTGCTAAAATGTCTGAGGCGAGTGGCAGTAATTCAATTGTGAAATTTATTAATTAATATATTTATTTTTATACTAATTTAATCATTTATTAAAGGAAGAAGTTTTTTTAACTTTAACTTAAACCTTTCTTGAATCCACCCTCTTCTGCACTACCCCATAAACCTGACCTTGCACCTTTTCTGCTCAAAGATAAGAAAATGTTTCACACATTGCAAACCTAAAGATTAAAATACATTTTTTACAATAAGAATTTGGCAAGCATGCAAGCACAATGGGGTGTTTTTAAAAATAATTGGTTGATAATATAAAATAAATTTAATTTTAATTCTTAAATATCTTTTATGTAAAAAAGTAAACTTGCATATGCATATTTTAATCCAAAATATTTCCAAGAGGCATTTAATTTGCTTAATTAATACAGTAGATCAAATAGGATTAAAATCTCTGATTTTAAATTTGTGGATTAAAATATATTTGTAAAAGCAATCAAATTTATTTAAAATTTTAATTTTGCAATAAGTCCAGTTCATTAATTTTTAAAATGGAAAAATAAGTATAATTCCCAATATGATTATTTTTTTATTATTTTTTAAATTTATTTATTTTATTTTTAATTTTTTTTTTTGTTGAGATATTGCTATCTAAAATAACAATACAAATTTTAAAAAATAATAAAATTTATAAAATTAGGTCCTCGTTGGGCATCTTGGAACATCGGGATATTTCTGTGTATCCGCTGTGCGGGTATCCACAGGAACTTGGGAGTACACATATCGAAGGTGAAATCTGTTAATTTAGATACATGGACACCGGAACAAGTTGTCGTAAGTATTCTATTTATTTTCCAACTTCGAATTTATTATAAATCCCCCCCCCCATCCAGAGCCTCCAGCAGATGGGAAATTCAAGGGCAAGGGCGGTGTATGAAGCAAATCTACCGGACAGCTTCAGACGTCCACAGACTGATTCATCCCTTGAAACGTTCATCAGGGCGAAATATGAGGCGAAGAAATATATCGCCGGCGAGTGGGTGCAGCCACCCCTCCCAAAAATTAACTGGGATAAAGAGCTCGACGAGGAGGCTGAAAGGAACAGAAAGAAGAAGAAGGAGGCCAAAAACCTCGGAGGGGTAAGTGTTCTCTTTGAATTTGAGTTTTAAATTTAACATATTGAAAATGCTTTTAATCAGAAATTTTGTATGGTTACTTTCTCTCTTGGATTAAAACCTTGTTAATTTAACCTTCATCCATTCGGGTGGACAGCATATTGGATACATTTCTTAATTTTTGTATTATCCCCTAATGCACAGTTAGAGGCTCAGAAATGGCCCATTCATTCCCAAGTTAGACCTTCAACCAAGCGGTGGGACACTTCCACCTTAAAACCGTGCCTCTTTGTGTCAGTGCATTTTTAAAATTGAAAGGTGGTGATTTGACAGCCAAACTGCTAGCAAATATATATTTATACCACTTGAATAAAGATTTAAGTGGGCATATCTTTAAAATAAACATTTCTTTATTATTACCTAGTATTTTCAATTTTTTTCTATTTATTCAGTTTACTAGTGTGTGTATATTAGTTTGTGTATAGTTTTTTCCCCTACGAAAAAGAAGAACAAAAATTCTTCCCAAATTTTTAATCAGAAAGAAAAATGCAATATCAGGGGACTACCAAGGTTGAGTGCCAATATGATAGTTGATTTTTATGAATAAGAAAGCAGTTAACAGAAAAAAATTCACTCACATCATCAGCAATTTTTCATATGCAAAGATTTTAATGGGAAAAACACAAAATAAATAAACGCAAAGGATTGAAAATGAATATCACATTTTCAGTCCTTCGAGTTTCCTATTTGTTTTTACACCTTCATTTTTTTACTTTGTACGTGTGTGTTTTGGAGTTTCATTTAAATTTTCTGTGATTTTTGTGGTTACCCAAAAATTTTTTTGATCAAAATGGGCTTGTGAAGTTGTTTTAGAGTTAATTTGTCCTAACTATTATAATTTGCGATGAGAAAATGAAGAAAACACAATGAAGATGATGTGAAAAGACAACCAAACTGCCGTTCACATGAGTGGGGATGGGACACCAGACCACATGAGTGGATGAACGTCATTCCTTTATAGGGCATAATTCCCTGTACATTTTTTTTTTTTTTTTGCAATCCTTGTCATTTAGCAATCCTATAAATGGTAAAAATATTAAAAATTTAAAAAAAAAATTTGGTTTGCCTTTTTTGTGGTATGTATCAGTGCCCTTTGAGAAAAAAAGTTTGTGGTACGTATTGTTACTAGTAACTGTCTCCATCCTTTTTTTTTCTCTTGCAAGTAGCTGTTTACTACAAATCTGAGGAGTTTTAGGTACCGGGTATGAACTTTTATTAAAAAAATATTCAATACTTTAACACAATTTTAATTTTTTTATTATTTTGTTAATTTTTTTACAATTGACAAACTGAATTCTTATTAAAAATATTTATAAAACATATAATGTAGTTATTATACTACACATTGTTATATTATTATAATACAATTTTACAAATACATACAAATAATACTCAAGGCCTATGAAAGGGGATGAAACACTAGGCAATAGCTCCACTTTGCATTTGGTGTGTGCAATTGATGTTCTTTTTTGAGTTATGACCTTCCACATCTCCTCCTAGTACATTTATTTAGATCGAAAATTCGTCTTTCCACTATCAAAAAATTATGACCTTTATTGTTTTTGTTATAAAATTATAATGATAATAAAATATGTTTCAAAGATGAGATATAAGCGAATTTTATGAATTTATTCATAAACAAAATTGACTACATAATATGACAAAACTTACTAAATAATTAATAAAAAGAGGTCATTAATAAAATTAGAAATACTAATAATTACTTAATCTGAAAAACCGAAGGAAAAATTCACAGGTGTCAAAACATTGATATGCAATGTCTGAAAACGCTGCAGAACAAAAGCCCTGGAATAATAAATAGAAGCCTAGTGAGACAATATGATATTGGATTTGTAATGGGTAAATACGATCATTAGACATTTCAGAAGAGTACTTACTAAAAAAAAGATGTTTAAAAATGTTAATATTTTCTTTGGTGATTGATCAGCCTTCTCAGTTTAAATATATTTTTCTTTCCAAAAGGTAGATTGGCGATAAGGTGAGGAAGACAGAAACAACATTTATTTTCTTGTCGAGCTTTCGGCAGAATATATCGCCTTCATCAGGACTTCGAAAAAAATCGTTATACTATATGAACAGGTACATGTGTGGATAACGGATAGCTGGTAGAACTTTTTTTTTAATGTTGTTCTTGGGACCTAAGTTTAATATTTGACAGATATCATTAGGAATAGTGCTATCTCTCAAGTTTATCATAAATTCATTGTCAGTATGACTCTCAAGCCTAGGATATTGTTTATTGTATAATGCAATGTATTTAGAGTCTAAAGTTTTGTTTTCTTTTTTAAAACATATATCAAAAAATAGCCTCTGTTTTTCCAAAAACCTGTCTAAAACCAAGTTTGGTAGAGTACTGCAATCATAGAGATATTTTTTTATGTCATGAATTTCATTGACCAATTTTTCCAATTTCCTAATAGTGTTTTTAATTTCTACATCTAAGACATCTTTCTTTAGACCAGCCAGTATTTTATGAACCAAGTGGTTGTTAGGGGAGCCATACACAATTAAACTATTAACAGATTTTATACTGTTAATGCTGTGACTAGGAAATACTTTACCGGCTATCCGTTATCCACACATGTACCTGTTCATATAGTATAACGATTTTTTTCAAAGTCCTGATGAAGGCGATATATTCTGCCGAAAGCTCGACAAGAAAATAAATGTTGTTTCTGTCTTCCTGGCCTCATCCCCAATCTACCTTTTGGAAAGAAAAATAGATTTAAAAATGTTTGGAAAACACCAATGTTTGAGAGAGTGGCGATAGGGGTAGCTGGGCAGGAGAGGAATAAGCAAACTCTTAGGACACCACAATACACATTTGTACCACAAGGCACAAAGAAACATTTCGGCTATTTTCTTGCCATCTAATGAGAAAGGATGAAACCTAAAATTTCCAGACACTGTTACCACTTGTAGATAAATATTGGAACTGTTGACTGCGTAAAATACCTGCCAGATCCTTGGTGGTATATATGAGTACCAGAAGTACTGTATTGAAAGGGTTAAAGAAAACAGCAGACAATTTTTTCCTCTACTGAATCTTCAGTCTAAAGTTACATTTGGTTTTGATCGATAATATTTCTATTGTACTGCCTTAATATTTCAAAGTTAGACTTTAATTTAATAAAATGTGGCGATTTTTATAATTTTCTTCTCTGGAGGCCCATGGGACTAAGGTGTCAGCCCAAATAGTGAAATTTCACAAAGTTGATGGTAAAAAAAAATTAAATTAATTTACTTTTACTTTCCATTTACTGACTGGTGTTAACAAGACAAGGGTTACTTCCACTAAAAATGGGCTTAACCTTAAAAAAGTCCCGGGCTGTTTTGTTTTTATTCCGTTCCCTCATCTAGTCCTTACATTTTATCTTTCTATTTACTTCACCCTATTTCTTTCTGTCTCACTACCAAGAACGTTGTGATTTTCCTTGATCAGACTGTCTTGGAAATTCATATTTTCCAGATCTCCCGCTGGTACTTTTCCACCCTCCATCAGTTCCGTTGTGCCAGCCATTTTCTCCCAATTCTTGTGAGAATTAAATGTGTACAATAGGGGGAACGATGATCACAACAGAAGGGATTCAGTTTTGGGTCTGTGTTGTATGAACTCTGGCTGAGAGTGGATTATTGATTGGTTGTTCCTTTTGTTATTTTTTCCTCTCAACAGCCTTTTCATTTTGTAAGTGTCCTTTTTATTTTATTATTATTTCCTTCTTAAAGCCATAACAGAAAAGACCATATTTTAAATTTCATTTGGTTGTATTAATTAAAATAGTGTATTTTTTTATTTTTTTTATTTTTTTATTTTTTTGAATTCCTTCAATTAGTCTCACTTGTCCCTGCCCTTCTGATCTCTGTCCCCTTAAACCCAGAACTATCACTTTCAGTCGTTCCTTTCTTAAACCTTTAAACCAGCCTCTGGAATTCCTTTCCTCGCTCTATCCATGGTTCTGTTTGATTACTTCATGTCATTGCAACTTAGCCCCAGTTACCTTAATTGGTAAATTATTGTTACACTATATTATAAACTTAATTGTCCCTTTTAATTTTATTACAATAGATTTGTAATTTGTTATAATGGTTGGTATTATAAGCAAATTTAGCTTTACAAGAACATGGGCCATGTTGGCTGTGGCTTACAAACTTGCTTATTTATGTGAAAATAATGGGAACTTTGTGAAGTGTGGAAAAGTGTGTAGTAGGTAACCAAAGGAGTATATTGTACTTTAATGGGAAGTACGACTTTCCATTATCATTGGGGTTATGTTTATAATGTATATATTTTGTAAACAGGCTGTATTTGTGCCAGGCATGTGTCTAGATATGACTGTATTACGTAGTTTTATTATTCACGGGGGCTTTAAACCGCAAAATAAAGTTTACTGTTTCTTTTTTCTTTTTCTCTTAAATATAATTTGTATTTTAGGTTGCGATTCCAGTTCCAAAAAAATTAGATTCAGTGGTCCCTCAGGCAATCCCGAAACCTAATTCCAGCCCGAAATCATCAAGCAGAGGTACACCGCCCAGGTCGACTTCAGTACCAAAACCGGCAAGCGCTGATTTATTGGGATTGGACACGCCGACGTCTGAAGGAGCTGCGTCGCAAGGAGACGACTTCTCTTCATTCCTTTCTGCACCGAGTGCAGCGAGTACAGCAAGTACGGCTCCGAAACGTTCAGAGGAAGAGGACAGTTTCTTTAATCAGGCGTTGCCTGAGACCACGACTCCAGGTCGCCTCACAACAGATTCCATCCTTGCTCTCTATGCAAAATCCCCACAACAGCCGCAATACCAGTTCCAACAACCCTTTCAGCCTTTCCCTCAGACACAGTTCCCACATAACGGCGTCCTTCCCAAAGTGCAGCAGGTGCCCAATACCCAAATCACCTCAAATCCTTTCTACCAGATGTCCAATACACAACAAAATGTAAGTTTACTAGATTGGACCCTTTAACTTCTCTCTAGTGGCATTTGTGTATGTATGAACACTTTAATTTTTCAGATCACAAAGGACTTTTCTGCGATGAAAATAAACCAAATAAATCAACCAACCAATCTCGCCAACACGAACCTCTGGCAATAATGGATGAGTGAGAAGTTTGTGTAAATTATTATTTGAACATGTTTAAGAAATTGTATATGTATATACAGGCATATAATATGTTTATATACAGTGGGAGATATATATATTATACATAAGTGGATTTGTGCAATTTTTTCGTATGTATCATTTAACGATTTCATCTGAAACTCGGATCAATGTAAAATCGCACGTTTATATTTATGAGTGATGTGTTAAGAAATGTTATTTAGGGACTCATTTGTCTTCGGACAGTAATATAAAGGAGAACTGGACGTTTGTTTTTATTTTTCCCAAAATTTTGTTAAATTTGTTGTTAATATGGCTAACCTTTTCAGGACTAGTGACGATTTATCTTATGGTTTTTGCAGCCCTAGATGGACATCGCCCTTCCTTTCCCATTCTGACCATCAACAAACCCCTATTTTTCTCCCCTTTCTGTTCACTATTTGGACTAGCTCTCAAAATTTTGTGAAATGTGGGGTGTTTAGTGACCGTTAATTAATGATTATTCGGAGATGGTGAGATGCAGTCTGGTGTGACATAGGTTTTAGAAAAACATTTACTTTATCGTGCCAACGTTTCAATCTTTATTGAGATCATCTTCAGGGCCTGGTATTTATGAACATTGTTTAAATTATACTAACAACATTTACAATACTCCCAATAATATTGCGACACTTCTTTTTTCTGAAAATAACTACGTCTCATTGGGAATGCCCTACTTCCATCTACCTCTTGCTTCTTCCCGACTCATTACTCTTCTGTACCTTATTGTCTTTCTGATTTTTGCTTCTTGCTTGCCAAATGGCCTCAGTTTTTACTTTAAATTCATAATAATTTTTAGAATATAATTTTGTTTTTGTTGCCCTTATTGTTATATATTTTATGTATTTTTATATTTATTTTTGTTGAGCGTACATATGTAATACATCAAAGACAGATAAAGATAATCTGATGCACTCCAGCCACCTTTTACAACCTTCTAAAAAGGTCTTGACTGAATGGAAATCACATGATCACTGAATATGGCGAGTAGCTAAAATTTTCTGATACGAAAACAACAGAAGACCTGAATTATCATTTTAAAAAAATGGACAAAAATTTGCTTTTTTTGCCCATTGCTCACCTATTTTTTCAAATTGACTTGTTAATTATTTAATCCTATATGTGTGTCATAATTGACCTTATTGATTATTTTAATTAATTCTACCTTTAATCTAAGGCCTTGGTTATGAAAAAGCAAGTGTCACGAGCGGGATTCGAACCCACGACCTTCAGCTCAATCAGCTGCTGTAACCACTTGAACTATCGCGACTTAATATATTTAATAATAATATAATTATTTAATAATCAATCTGGGAAGAGTTAAATTGATTAATTGACCTAGTCAATCGATTGAAAACGCCTATAAATTGATATCCCACGACTAAACATGTGCTCAGTTAGTTCCTATGAACCCAATAGAAAGCACTACAGTCCGCTATGTGGAATTTCATTCTTGCAATGAATGTTATGACTTTTTTGAATCGTAGTTGAAGTCTAAAATAGTTTTAAATGAAGTCGTGACAGGGGAAGAGTATATAATGTTACGTAGTTATTTTTTCAAGTTTGAAGTATGTACAAAAATTTAGTTCGTAACATTTATTTTTGATCTGTACTGTAATTTTGTCATTTTTTTAAGATTCAAATTAGTAGTACTTCAGACTTATACACAAATATTTCGTTTTTATACTTAATTACGCTAATTATTTCGGTAGTGACAGTGAATTGTACAACTTTTGAGTTAAAAATAGGAGAATTATTTTTTTTAAAATGTACAAGGGTATAGCACATATACATATTATGTATAAAGCATACAGTTCATTTCTTTTCAAATCACTGTGAAAAATGTATATTTATACATTATTCAATAAAGATATGAGATAGTGAAAATTGACAAATGAATCCACTTTTTTTAGTCAATCTCTTCTTTCTAATTTAAATTATGTATACAATTTTGCCTCTATACATTGACTTTGTAATCAATACATCGATCATTTTAAAATGTTCAAAATTTATGGTTTAATTATATTAGATGTAATATTTGAACAATTCTTTAAACGTGTGTGATTTCTATGATTGTCTTTAGTCGGAGGTGCGAAATGGAAATGGAATAAGCCGAAGTTGGACAAAAAAAAATCAAGCACCGTCCAAACTCCAAAGTCCTCTTGGTGGAATATTAGTGAGGGGGAAAAAGCGAGAGTGAGCGACACCTCACCTCCGGCTCGTTCTGTCTCATTCCAGCAAACTCGCTCTCTCTCTCCGCTCGGTTACGGGCCGTGATGTAACCGGAGTTGACCCATTTTCCGCCGAGAAACGAAACTGAGCAACGCTACGCGAAAAAAGCTAAATGCCGAGCGAAAAAAAAGCGATAATCACCGAGGGGAAATTTGTAAAGCTCGCGACGACGTGATAAAAGGGCTCAGGATACGGACTTGTCCTACACACGGACTTCGGAAACGGAGATCGACCGGAATAAACCAAACACTAAAGGACTTGAGAATTATATGTGTCTGCCTAGAAAAGATTCAACTTAAACCAAAACAAATACCCCCCCCCCCAGAAAAAACCTACGGTTGATAAAATATGGTAATACCATGTACCTTACCTTTACAGATTGTGCTTTTTTTAAATTTTGCTTTACGTCAAATAAATAAAGGCTGTATACCCAAATTTTGGTCTTTTATAAACACAAGTTTATTTCAAAAAGAGCCCCAAAATATTCCAGCTACTTTGGCTACATAACACATCCTAATTCTTCACATCCTATTTATTAAAAGTTAAAAAATATCAGATTCCTTTCAATGCGAGTTTGAACATTAATAAAAGGATTTCAATTTAGCCAAACCCAGTAAAAATACCTAAAAGGCTAAAAGGTACACAGATTTATCATCAGATAGCCAGAGCCTACGAAATACATCCATATACCTATAACTATGGCTGGATCTTCCTACTGCTTGGAAAGAAGAAATATGCAAGATCCACAATTATTAGTGCTGTTAGGTGATGGACCTGTAGTTTTGTTCGGTTCTGATCATCATGATCTCTCGTTAGATTTGATTATTTCGTGGTAACCAGCGGTTCGTTTGTAAAATGGCGAAGAATGAGTATGGTGGAAACCAGCGAGATTAAGCGGACCGGATGATCTGAGAGAAGACATTTCACAAATAAATATTTGATGATTAGTGTCATGTACTATTATTATTTTCCTAGGTGCTATTTTATTTTTATTTTCGTCGGCAGAATCTTTATAAGTATGCACAATGGTGAACCCAGTTAGAAGGGGCAGATCAGGTTCCTTTAAGACGATTTTGGGTTCACCAAGTCGCCGGCCATATACTATTTGGTATGTCAGCGTGTTTTGGCATTTGGACAGTTTTTTCTAGTTGGTCTGTGTGTTATTGTGTCAGTTCTCAGTTCTGTGCCCTTTACGCGTTTGTAAAATGGCGAAGAATGAAGGGGAAACCAGCGAGATTAGGCGGACCGGGTTGTGCTAAAAGAAAACAAGAAATTTCACAAACATTGGCCATTGTCCTCATACAATTAGCACTTTTCTAGATAACACTTTGCTAATTTTTTGCTTAAACAACCTGTGTTTTTGTTTTGTCTAGTTTTCTTGTTGGTTGGGCAAATCGAACGGGTTTCGGCGTACACCATCCTCAATGGTTGTCTGTATGCTGTTTTCGTCAGCTGAATCTTTTTCTAAGTCTGTAAAATGGTGAACCCTGGGAGAATTGGAAGATCGGGTTGGTCTAAGACGATATAGCAGCAGGTTCATCGCGTCGCCTACCAGGTACTATTTGGTCTGTTAGACGTGTTGGCAGTTTTTGTAGTTGGTCTGTGTGTTATTGTCATTTCTCAGTTCTGTCTTATTTATATGCATGTAAAATGGTAAATAATGAAGATGATGGAAACAGCGGGATTAGGCGGACCGGGTTGATCTGAGAGAAAACAAATTTCATAAATCAACATTTGGCCATAGTCGTACAATGATCACTTTCCTAGATCCGACTTCGCTAATTTCTTGCTTAAACAATCTTTTTGTTTTGTCGTCCCCCATCTTCCTGGCCAGTTTGTTCTCGTTAGTTTGGCAGGTCAGGCGCCATTCGCATTCAGTGGTTTGCCTGTGTGTTGTTTTTGTTAGTCGAATCCTTGCAACATCAGGTTAAAAGGCAGTTCGTAAATTTGCGGAAAGCAGCGAGAATCGGCAATCCTGGTTCAAGCTGTAGGTCATCACATCCAAAAATCCCATAATAAATCAGTTTTGGTTGTTTAGTTCAATCTTGTCGTAGATGTTTTCCTATTGTATGTTTAGTGCGGATTTTGTACTTTAAATCGGCTGTAATATAAGCGTTAGTTATTATGTCATTTATGAATCCGCTGAAGACGTCGAGAAGCGAAACTCATCTAACAGCCCCAAAGCAGCGAGCATGCAGGTAAAGGTGACCAGAAACGACAAAACTAGAAGATATGTTGGAAGCAATTAATCAATGAAGACACCTTGGAAAGTAGTTCAAATGATTAAAAGAGAGTGAAAATTCCACATTACGGACATAAAAGCCTGATCAATGCGGAATCGGTCGGTTCAAGTTCTATTGAGACTTTTTAGGACTTTGGTGTGAAATTCATCTTAACTCATTTTCTAATTGGCTGTTTAAAACGGAACTTGCATCTATAAGTGCAGGGATAATTTCACTTAATTCAATTTCTACTGTGCAGGTCCAAAAAAAGCATTTGGGCTTTGGGAAAATTAAGTGAAATCGTGCCCCTTTCGACTTATTTTCTATTTAAAGATGTGCCTGGGAGCGGTTAGGGCCTTTAATGTTGTACTTTCTCGAAAAACGGTACTTTTTGAACCCTTGGACTTCCATTTTCCGAAGTTCACAAGGCAAATTTTTAATTGTACTAGCCCCTCATTTCTTTAAACATAAAAAATTGTAGCAACACCAAATCCCTATATAACAATTATGATCTGTACTAATCAGTGTTTAAGAAATAAGGTGTTAGATGAATTTGCTCAAAATAATCGGTCACTGTTGGGTTTTTACTTTCACCATGGGAGGTACGCGGTTCCTAGATTTTGGGTTTTCCTTGTTTTCCATTAACAGCAACTCACCAGCTGCTGGGGCTGAGGTGAGGCCGACTTGAAAAACAATTCTATGCCTTTAGAGAGTTGTCACGAATAAAAATAAATATTTCAAAATTGGTTGTGACCAGGGCGTAAGTTTTGCAC